GGCGCGAGCCCTCGTCGCGCCTCCTCCATCTGTACCTGCACCCCAATGGACGGCCGCCACTTCCGCTGCCGCGCCAGGCTCCGCAGCTCCTCCCTGCCGGGGATGGTCTTGATGATGAGTGTGGGGGGCTTGGGGCTGGCCCGGGGCGGCACCGGCGCCAACTCCAGGGTGCGCGCGCCCATGGCGGGGCCGTCCAGCCCGTCGGCGGAGCTGCAGCGCCGGGCGGGGCCCTCGGCCGCGGAGAAGCTCTCGTGCGCGGAGTCGGTGCTGCTCTGGGCCGTGATGGAGATGCGGGGCGGGGCCTGGCTTCCCGGCGGGATGGGGGGCGGGGCCTTTCTGAAGTTGAAGGCTGTGGCGGGCCGACAGGGACAGCGCCTGAGAAACGCGCCCGGGCAGGGTCTCCGGCCCCCGCCGGGCACTCCCACCCACGCGGACCCACAGGACCCAGCGGCCACGTGCGGCTACGTGCAGGGCCAAGGACTGTTCTCCCCTCATCCGGCCCCGGGAGGCAAGCGATAGGCCCAGGGCCACACCTCAACCCCTGTGTGTGTGGCGGGCGGGGAGCCCGAGCCCAGGGCGTTCTCCAAGCTGGGCAGGGAGGGCGTACTCACAGGAGCCGGGCCTCCCTGAGACAGAGGCAGGGGCAGCAAGGAGGGGCAGGCAGTCGTCGTCTTGAGAGCAGCCGGCCTGAATGGCCCGGAGGTAGCTGTGGCTCCGCATGCGGAAACAGCCGGGCAGGTCCAGGGCGTCCACGGCCTGGGACTCGAGCTCCCCTAACACGGACCCGCACACGGCCTCCAGCTGCTGGTTCAACTCCTCGCTGAGCTGGGGGCAGGGGACGGGAGGACAGTTATGAGGGGCTGGGGTGGGGCGGGGGTCGCTGAGGCGCTTTGTCTTGGGAAGATATCTGTATCTGCAGCGGTCGTGCCTCTCTGTGACTCTTCTGCATTTGGACGACAAGAAACTCCCTCACACTGCAAAGAAAGACGGGGACACCTCTGCCCCATGCTGCTCAAGGTTTTCCTTGGGGCCCAGTTTTTCCTCTAAATGCTCTCACCCCCACTCCACCTATGGCTCTCCCAGATGCCTGGCTATACCCCAGGCTCCTGACCACCACGTTTTCCTCTCCACCTAGTCCCAGCCCGGCCACATTTCCCTCACCTGACCCTGACAGAAAGGACCAGGGACCTGACATCCATTCCTGCCCAGTATGAGAATTGCAGGGAGGATGCCCTTTATTTTACTTATAATCCACTACATTAAAATTTGATTGAAAGCAACCTATACCAAGTGGCAGGGCAGAAATGAATGGATAAGTGATGGAGAAAAAAAGAAAAACTGGCTGGGTATAGTGGCTAATGCCTGACACAGTGGCTCACACCTGTAATCCCAGCACTTTCAGAAGCTGTGGCAGAGGATCACTTGAGCCCAGAAGTTCAAGACCAGCCTGGGCCACATAGCAAGACCTCATCTCCACAAAAAACAAACAAAACTATACCTCACCTTCTGCTCACTAACTAGGGTTTGGCTTGACTGGTGAGTACCTTCCCTGCCCTCACCCTCTAAGGAAATCCCAGTCATTGCTAGATGAGGTTTTTGGTTTTGTTTTTGATGTTCTGTGGTACAGAATCCATGGTGGGTTTTTTTTTAAGGTAATAAAGAAAGCACAACAAAAACTCATGGTGGCTCTGCACGCCACCACACTAAGACTAAATATGGCACAGAGAAAAAATAAAGGCAGGAAAATTTGGTGCCAGAGGTAATGCACACCAAGAACAAAAGTGACAAAATCAGGAACACTGATCAAGATGGGGACATATTTAACCCAAACTCCCAAGCAGGTAATGCATCAAGGAGTAGAGCCTGAAGGTTGCCTGCACAGGCTATGAATGAGACCTTTCCTGGATTCAAGTGCTGGCTCTACCACTTCCTAGCAGTGTGGCCTGGGAAAGGTAAAGTTTTGGGACCTCAGTTTGCTCACCTTCAAATGAGAGTGATAATGGGAGCGATACTCTTCATGGGGCCATGGAGGGGACTCAAAGAAAAACGTGCCAGGCACTTGGTGCAATACTAACACAGTAAGTCCACGGTTAGTGGCATATTAAGATCTCAGGGCCTACATGGGGAAACACAGACCAGGTGCCCATGAGAATCACAGTTATTCCTGTCACTGACCCTAAGAGAAAGTCCCCTGTGGCTGATTATGTAGAGGCCATTGGATAGAATCATGGACGAGGTCCTCACAAGTGACCCATGCTGAATGTAACAGCAAGTAGCCCATGGCTGCATCTTGTGATATCTCCCAGGAGAGATTCATGGCACCATATTTATGTGCAGTCAACAGGGGCTCAAAGGAGTGGCATGACCTATGTATAAAATGCAGCTCAGTGTTTCTATAATTCAGCTTCCAAAGCATAACACAATTTCATTAGATTCTACCTCAAATAGAGCAGGAATTTCCATCCCAATCTATTAATGGGCAAACAAGACTAAGAGAGGGCAGATAAATTGTCCAAGGATGCCTATTTGTTAAATGGTAAAACTGAAAATAAACACCATGGTTCCTGGCTCTCGTGTAAGACTGACTGAGAGTCAGAATCTCCTGGGGAACTTGGTAAACCTACATTAACTCAGGTCCCATCACAAGGATCTGAACTCAGGGCTCTCTATGCCACTCTTTGCTTTGGCTGCTTGGAAGCTCAGAGCCAATTTTGCTAAAGATTTAGATCCAGTGGTTCCATTGTGGACCCAGTCATTAAAAAGAAGAACTGTCTGAACTTCTTTCTGCAGATTTTTCTAAAGGAACTTCATTGCAAGTGTGTAGAAATCACAGGTCATGGAAAAATCAATCTAAAATCCTGTAAAAGTTGTTATCTCATGTTTGATTAGCCAACCTTGAGTGGCAGCTGTGGCTCTTACAATGACACCCTATAGTCTACTGCTCAGTCTTTCTGCACTTCTGGGCACCAAGGACAATAACTGCCAGGGTATTTCCTGAAACTCAGGAACTGACATAACTCCTGCTATTTGTGGACTAGGCTCAAGACACTCCCCAAGTAAAACAAATCCAGCTCCTTCCTGGAGCTCAGGGGAGTTGATCTAACTCTAGCAGAGAACATGCTGTTCTTGAGTCTGGACATCACAGATGAAAGTAATCTGACTCTGTAGTATATTTCTCTATCTCCAACCCACTTCTGTGTGTAAAGCACTGAGCATAATATATGACAGATGTTCAATACGCATTAGCTACTGCTGTTAGTAGCAGGAAGTTCTCAAATCACAATAACAATACTATGTAGCATGAGAGGTCTCTCTTTTCCTGGAGTACTGAAGCTCTTGAAATCCTACCCACAACCAATTCTATCCAAGGTAGACAGAGGAGGATGAGCAACCTTCCAACTCAACTGGTCAAGGGCTTCTGGGATTCCAACAAGAGACCAGGATACAAGAGAAACACAGAATCATAGAGACTCTCAGAGGAAAATTGCATCTGAGGTGATCTTGAGTGTCTTACAGTTATAAGATGGTAACATTGTACTGTGAATACTCCTGCTATTTGGGCACTGACTTGTACCCTGCTGCCCCCAACCCCCACTTGCAGGAGGATCAACGTCAAAGAATCCTCTTGAAATGAGATCCTTAGCCTTTCTCCAAACCAGACTCAGAATCAGTTGCCATTTCCAAGCTCCTGGAATATTTAGAGAAAAACACTTTGTGTCTAATTAAAAACTGTCCATACTAGAGTTGGTGGGTCTGACTGAGAGCCAGATAACATCCTGTATACTTTACGTATGTTATTTAGTTTGGATAACCTTTAGAAAACTCTCTCATTTCAAAACACTGGATAAAATATAACAAACGTTATTTTATATGCATAGCTGAGCTCACAAGAAAGCGAGATAAGTCCCCAGGGGACAAAAGCAAAGAGGAGACTGGAAAATCAGAATATTAACTATGTGAGCCAATGCTGCAAACAGCCCAGTGGGGGCGGGAGAAAGGGTAGGGGTTGCTGGTCTCAGCCTTTTGGTAAAGGATTAGGTTTTAACACCCACTTGGGCACAGGAGGAAGGCTTTGGGCCCACATGAAGCATGGAATTGGAAATGAGAAACTGCAGAAAGCTAGGAAGGGGGAAGCCTTTGATGAAAATGTAGACAAGAAAAAAAAAATCAGTCATCACCACAGGTTGATGACAAGGAAGCTTATCTGAAGTACAGGGACTCAAGGGAGGGAAAAGGAGCAAATCTCCTGAGAGTTTGTACTCGTAAGCTGGTCCTCATACAGATACAGTACCGTATATCTGCATGAATCTGCATGGGTTGGACCCCTCGAATTTAAAATTAACATAAAATGATCCCAGAGTGGGGATATTCTAACATAAGCGATGGCAAAATATTTCCTGGGGACTCACTCCTAACTCAGGCTGCTCAGGCTTATCGTAGACAATGCTCCATTAAAGATAAGTATACTATATGGTAGACAGTCTCTGACATGGTAATAATCCACACTTCCTGGCATTGACACCCTTGTGTAATTCCTTCCTCATGAGGGTAGACTGGACTTATTGGTCCACTTCTTTTTTTTTTTTGAGTTGGAGTCTCATTCTGTCGCCCAGACTGGAGTGCAGTGGCCACTCCCAGCCACCGCAGCCTTGACCTGCTGGTCTCCGGCGATCCTTCCGCCTCAGCCCTCTGAGCAGCCAGAATTACAGGCATGTGCTACCATGCCCAGCTGATTTTTTGATTTATTGTAGAGATGAGGTCTCGCTGCCTAGGCGGGTCTCGAACCAACGGGCTCAGGCAATCCACTCACCTCAGCATCTCAAAGGCGCAGGATTACAGGCTGAGCCACCGAGCCCGGCTGGTCCACTTCTAATGATTAGAATATGGCAGATACAATGGGATCTCACTTGGGAGATTAGATTACAGATAATGGCTTCCATCTTTGATCTTGATATCTCTCTCTCTCTCTCTCTCTCTCTCTCTCTCTCTATCTCTATCTCTTTCTGTCTCTGTCTCCCCCCCTGCCCACCCGTCCCTCTGTCCCTCTTTCTCTCCTTTCTTATGGCCTTCACTTTGAGAAAGGCAAGTTGTTATGTTGTGAATAGCCCTGTGGTGAGTCCTATATGACAAGAAACTGATGTCTCTGGCTAGCAGCCAGCGAGGATCTGGGGCCTACCAATAGTCAAGTGAGTGAGTGCAAAAGTGTATTCTCTCCTAGTCAAGCCTAGAGATGGCTGCAGCCCTGGCCAATACCTTGACTGCAGCTCAGTGAGACACCTGACCCAAGTGGCACCCAGTTCAGCTGTGCTCAGATTCCTGACCCACGGAAACTGTGTGATGATAAATATGTGTTGCTTCAAGAACTACATTTGGGGATCACTTATTATATAGCAAAAGATAACTAATACAAACTGTGACATAAACAAAAAGTAAACTGTTATTGAATTAAGCCATTGAGAATTACAAGCTTTTTTGTTATAGCAGCTAGCGTTACCTTAGCTAAAACAGAATAGCTTTTTTTTTTTTTTTAGTCTCACTCTGTCACCCAGACTAGAATGCAGTGGCACGCTCATAGCCACTGCAGTCTTGACCTGCTGTGCTCAGGTGAACCTTCCACCTCAGCCTGGAACCACAGGGGTGCACCACCATGCCCAGCTAATTTTTCAATTTATTGTAGAGACAAGGTCTTGCCAAGTTGCCCAGGATGGTCTCAAACCCATGAACTCAGGCAGTCCTCTCACTTCCACTTCCCAAAGTGCTGGGATTACAGGCATGAGCCACCGCATCTGGCTTGGAATAGCTTTTAAACTATGTTTAAGTCCTAA